GCAGGGGCAGCAGCAGGAAACAGGAGGAAAAAGTAGCTACAATCATTTTTTTCTATAGGTTTCAGAAGAGTAGCAGGAGCAGGAGCAGCAGCAGCAGGAGGAAACAGGAGGAAAAAGTAGCTAAAAATCATCCTTTTCTATGGGTTTCAGAAGTTACATTAGGCAGTTTTTGGGCGCAATTTTGATGCTTTTCCGTCCTTCACTGCCATGGGGATTTGCTGCTGGGAGTGGTTCGATTTTTGGCGTCGCAGCCTGCCACCGGAGTAGCAGGAGCAGGAGCAGCAGCAGCAGCAGCAGCAGGAAACAGGAGGAAAAAGTAGCTACAATCATTTTCTTCTATAGGTTTCAGAAGAGTAGCAGGAGCAGGAGCAGCAGCAGCAGGAGGAAACAGGAGGAAAAAGTAGCTAAAAATCATCCTTTTCTATGGGTTTCAGAAGTTACATTAGGCAGTTTTTGGGCGCAATTTTGATGCTTTTCCGTCCTTCACTGCCATGGGGATTTGCTGCTGGGAGTGGTTCGATTTTTGGCGTCGCAGCCTGCCACCGGAGTAGCAGGAGCAGCAGCAGCAGCAGGAAACAGGAGGAAAAAGTACCTACAATCATTTTTTTCTTTGGGTTTCAGAAGAGTAGCAGGAGCAGCAGCAGCAGCAGCAGGAGGAAACAGGAGAAAAAAGTAGCTAAAATTATCTTTTTCTATGGGTTTCAGAAGTTACATTAGGCAGTTTTTGGGCACAATTTTGATGCTTTTCCGTCCTTCACTGCCATGGGGATTTGCTGCTGGGAGTGGTTCGATTTTAGGCATCGCAGCCTGCCACCGGAGTAGCAAGAGCAGGAGCAGCAGCAGCAGCAGGAGGCAGGAGGAAAAAGTCGCCGAAATCATCTTTTTCTATGGGTTTCAGAAGATCATTAGGCAATTTTTGGGCGCAATTTTGATGCTTTTCCGTCCTTCACTGCCATGGGGATTTGCTGCTGGGAGTGGTTCGATTTTAGGCGTCGCAGCCTGCCACCGGAGTAGCAGGAGCAGGAGCAGCAGCAGCAGCAGGAAACAGGAGGAAAAGGTAGCTACAAGCATTTTTTCTACAGGTTTCAGAAGAGTAGCAGGAGCAGCAGCAGCAGCAGGAGGAAACAGGAGGAAAAAGTAGCTAAAATCATCTTTCATCTTTTTCTATGGGTTTCAGAAGTTACATTAGGCAGTTTTTGGGCGCAATTTTGTACTTTTCCGTCCTTCAGTGCCATGGGGATTTGCTGCTGGGAATGGTTCGATTTTTGGCGTCGCAGCCTGCCACCGGAGTAGCAGGAGCAGGAGTAGTAGCAGCAGCAGGAGGAAAGAGGAGGAAAAAGCACCCAAAAATCATCTTTTTCTATGGGTTTCAGAAGTTACATTAGGCAGTTTTTGGGCGCAATTTTGATGCTTTTCCGTCCTTCACTGCCATGGGGATTTGCTGCTGGGAGTGATTCGATTTTTGGCGTCGCAGCCTGCCTCCGGAGTAGCAGGAGCAGGAGCAGCAGCAGCAGCAGCAGCAGGAAACAGGAGGAAAAGGTAGCTACAATTATTTTTTCTATGGGTTTCAGAAAAGTATGGCAGTGAAGGACGGAAAAGCATCAAAATTGCGCCCAAAAACTGCCTAATGTAACTTCTGAAACCCATAGAACCTGCTAGGGGATTTGCTGCTGGGAATGGTTTGACTATAGGCGCCGCAGCCTGCCACCGGAGTAGCGGGATCAGGAGCAGCAGGAAACAGGAGGAAAAAGTAGCTACACTCATTTTTTTCCTATAGGTTTCAGAAGAGTAGGTTTCAGAAGAGTAGCAGCAGCAGGAGCAGCAGCAGCAGCAGGAGGAGGCAGGAGGAAAAAGTCGCTAAAATCATCCTTTCTATGGGTTTTAGAAGTTTGGGTTTCAGAAGTTGCATTAGGCAGTTTTCGGGTGCAATTTTGATGCTTTCCGTCCTTCACTGCCATGGGGATTTGCTGCTGGGAGTGGTTCGATTTTTGGTGTCGCAGCCTGCCACCGGAGTAGCAGGAGCAGGAGCAGCAGCAGGGGCAGCAGCAGGAAACAGGAGGAAAAAGTAGCTACAATCATTTTTTTCTATAGGTTTCAGAAGAGTAGCAGGAGCAGGAGCAGCAGCAGCAGGAGGAAACAGGAGGAAAAAGTAGCTAAAAATCATCCTTTTCTATGGGTTTCAGAAGTTACATTAGACAGTTTTTGGGCACAATTTTGATGCTTTTCCGTCCTTCACTGCCATGGGGATTTGCTGCTGGGAGTGGTTCGATTTTTGGCGTCGCAGCCTGCCACCGGAGTAGCAGGAGCAGCAGCAGCAGCAGGGGCAGCAGCAGGAAACAGGAGGAAAAAGTAGCTACAAGCATTTTTTTCTACAGGTTTCAGAAGAGTAGCAGGAGCAGGAGCAGCAGCAGCAGGAGGAAACAGGAGAAAAAAGTAGCTAAAATCATCTTTTTCTATAGGTTTCAGAAGTTACATTAGGCAGTTTTTGGGCGCAATTTTGATGCTTTTCCGTCCTTCACTGCCATGGGGATTTGCTGCTGGGAATGGTTTGACTATAGGCGCCGCAGCCGCAGCCTGCCACCGGAGTAGCAGGATCAGGAGCAGCAGCAGCAGCAGCAGCAGGAAACAGGAGGAAAAAGTAGCTACAATCAAATCATTTTTTTCTATAGGTTTCAGAAGAGTAGCAGGAGCAGGAGCAGCAGCAGCAGCAGGAGGAAACAGGAGGAAACAGTCGCTAAAATCATCTTTTTCTATGGGTTTCAGAAGTTACATTAGGCAGTTTTCGGGTGCAATTTTGATGCTTTCCCTCCTTCACTGCCATGGGGATTTGCTGCTGGGAGTGGTTCGATTTTTGGCGTCGCAGCCTGCCACCGGAGTAGCAGGAGCAGGAGCAGCAGCAGCAGCAGCAGGAAACAGGAGGAAAAGGTAGCTACAATTGAATTATTTTTTTCTATGGGTTTCAGAAAAGTAGCAGGTTCTATGGGTTTCAGAAGTTACGTTAGGCAGTTTTTGGGCGCAATTCTGATGCTTTTCCGTCCTTCACTGCCATGGGGATTTGCTGCTGGGAGTGGTTCGATTTTAGGCATCGCAGCCTGCCACCGGAGTAGCAAGAGCAGGAGCAGCAGCAGCAGGAAACAGGAGGAAAAAGTAGCTAAAAAAGTAGCTACAATCATTTTTTCTATAGGTTTCCGAAGAGTAGCAGGAGCAGGAGCAGCAGCAGCAGCAGGAGGAAACAGGAGGAAAAAGTCGCTAAAATCATCTTTTTCTATGGGTTTCAGAAGTTACATTAGGCAGTTTTCGGGTGCAATTTTGATGCTTTCCGTCCTTCACTGCCATGGGGATTTGCTGCTGGGAGTGGTTCGATTTTTGGTGTCGCAGCCTGCCACCGGAGTAGCAGGAGCAGGGGCAGCAGCAGGGGCAGCAGCAGGAAACAGGAGGAAAAAGTAGCTACAATCATTTTTTTCTATAGGTTTCAGAAGAGTAGCAGGAGCAGCAGCAGCAGCAGGAGGAAACAGGAGGAAAAAGTAGCTAAAAATCATCCTTTTCTATGGGTTTCAGAAGTTACATTAGGCAGTTTTTGGGCGCAATTTTGATGCTTTTCCGTCCTTCACTGCCATGGGGATTTGCTGCTGGGAGTGGTTCGATTTTTGGCGTCGCAGCCTGCCACCGGAGTAGCAGGAGCAGGAGCAGCAGCAGCAGCAGCAGCAGCAGCAGCAGCAGGAAACAGGAGGAAAAAGTAGCTACAATCATTTTTTTCTTTGGGTTTCAGAAGAGTAGCTTAACTGACACAAATAGGTCCAAGGACAAAGTCCTGGTATACATCTGTAACTAATGCATATGTGTATATAGACATATATATATATATATCAATATATATATATATATCAATATATATATATATATGTACATATATGTATATATATGTATATATATATACACATATATATATATATATACATACATATACATATACATATATATATATATAAGAGTATATATATAATACTAACGCTACATTACATTACGATACATATTTACAGTACATTTACAGTACATTACATTACATTGCATTGCATACATACATACCAGCCAAAATCCATCAAATTCCAAAAACAGAAATCATGGTTTTATATTGCGGAGGCTTTCTGTGGTTTGCTTCGTTGAGAAGACCTGAAAGTGCGAAGCACCGAAGAATATTTGTGCCCATTTGGTTTGATTCGTTGCCACTTCTTCCGGGGTCGGCGGCAGGGGCGGCAGCCCTTAAATATATATATATATAATATGTATGAGATTTTATGAGTATGCAGCATACAGTGTGCGTGTGTAGTGGAGCAGTGGAGCAGTGGAACATGGCAATTACTGTTCAACCTCATCTGCGCACACAAGCTGCTAACACACACACACAACAGAAATCAACAAAATCAGGAAATCAAAAGTCCACGTTGATCACAGATGATCACAGGACATCACAGGCAAGCAACATGCTGAACACCAGGTGGTACGTGTAAAAACAAGCCGGGTTCCTTGGCGATGCATCTCAATGACGAAGGATTCTAGAGCACCACATGCCCTGGCACTCAAGCATCCAATCTCTTAAAGGCATTCCCACAATTGCCCAAGGGCAAGGATGCATAGAAAATTAATGAAAATCATAGAATTCCGTTCCCTTCAGGCGTGGTGTTTCCAAGGTGCTTGTTTCAAACAATGGCCTGACATGGCATTTGATTTTCAACATTTACGGACGTCCTGTGAGATGACAAAGATCCAGTACTGACAAGTTGCCAAGTCCACATCCTTGTCATATACTCTAGGCCCGGGGAGTTTCCCAAAATTTTCAAAATCTAAGGTTCGACTTGGAAACATGGGGCTTTGATATGGGACAGATCGAGAGCTCAGCACTCCATGGTTGGGGAGCTTCGGGGGTGGAGTAAACTCCAGCTACCGCTAGCTTTCGTGACTTTCCATCTTTCTCACTAACGCTTCAGATCATAATTATGATGCTATGTGTATGATGCTGAATCTGTTGACTGCCGGGCTTCTGCTTTGATTTCTTCGCGGCGCCACGACTCTCCGTCAATGCCACGTTCGGTGATGGCAAATTTCCCGCTCCCGTTAAGAACGTAAAAGATCCTGAGACATGGGCCGACATGGGTATGGACAATATGGGTTTAGACTTCTGCACCCCGGCTATTGAATGACTATTGAATACAGTGCATCTTACCAACGAAAAGGAGCAAAGTCAGTGGTTTGAATTTTTGAAGCAATAACAAGAAAAACAACTTAAATCACCAACCAACCTGAGGTTTTATTTGCAGCATTCCCATGGCACGATTTAAATAATTGTCCCTCGTGCAAGTAAACATAGGTAGCATAGGTAAACTATGAATGAAACTGCGCTTTGCACCGTGGTGAAGTCTCAGGCGCTCGAACATGTCTTCGTGGTCATGGGCCTCAAAGTAGCCGCCATCCTTGAAATCTGCCACACTGACCTGTGTCAGTGGAGGGACCTCACCTTTCCTCACGAAGACCTGCGAGAAGAGCGGTTGCTTGGTGAGATATCCATGGATCCCCTCATAAAGTTGCAGCAAAGAAAGCCATGGTGAAACCCCCTGGTTTGAAAAAATGTGGGGAAAAGAAGGGGTCAAAACAGAATACGCAACATATCAAAACCAGCCTTCTTCTCATCTGTGAAGGGCTCATGATTGATCTTGAAGACATGGGCATTGTCCCAAGGTATTACCTGGGGCTCCTTCGTGCAAGGAAATCGATCATGGCGCCCATCTTGCAGGCCATCGTTCTCGTTGTGTGTTCCTACGAAATCTCCAGCACGCCTTTCGCCCTCCCCTTCCTCATGCCCTTCGGCGCGTAGCAGCGTCAAAATGCACCAGAAGAGCATGCGCATTGTGACCATTGTGAGTCCCCAGTGCCGCTTGTGGGCCATGGTCTGAGGGAGTTCGCCGGATCTTTTCTGAGCACGTTTGCTCTAAGTTTAATGATGATTGATGGGAATAATGCCGTTGATATCAGGCAGCGTCATTTGCCCACAACAACGACTGAAGAACAACTACCGGTAAGATTGAGATGTCTGATTGTTCGTAGCTAATGCAAACTGGGCCAAAGCTGATGCCATTCTGATGGCAAATCCACCAACCTTGCATACAATATGAGAAAGCAAATCAATGCAAATCATGCGGGGACGCTGAGATCACGTCTGTCTATCTATCTTATCTATCCTATCTAATTATCTTTCTATCTATGTGTGTGTGTACGTATACTGGGGGTTCATGCGCTAGGTGTTTCAGCAAGTTTTCGTTTCTGAAGAAACAATTGAGGCTCCCAGCCATTGTGACGAAGCGCTGCATCCCCTGCCGTCCAGCGACAGTTTGCACCTCTAAAATTTAGAGGTCCAGCGATCCCTGTCGGTCCCGTCCGGTCGCATTGCCTTCATGGGGGACCTCTTCGGAGTACCGCAGTAGTCTGACAATTGTTCGAAGATCTGTCCTTGGTGAACTCATAGCTCCGATGAGCAGAACTGAAGGGGACATTCAGCAAGTGCACAAAAACATCTTCCTTCCATTCGATCACGTTCAGAAAGGCAGAAACACAGTTCGTCGCCTCTATGAGCCTATTGTCAGTTGTCACCGTTGCCAGTTGCTGTTTAGGGGTTGCCAACTAGTTACCCATACAACAAATGGATGGCCCGAATGGCCCGAATGGCAACGATTGAGCCATACTGAGCCACTCATAGGGAGCCACGGAGTCGCCCCTTTTGGTCACCTATAAGGCCCAGACCTAGAAGTTTCTGCCGCAATGCTTTGTCTTCTTTGTGCCTCAGGCCAAAACAGCATGTGCACATCGCGTGCCTTTATATTGTTGGATATTATGATATTTGAATATACTGATATACTAAAGTGATTTCAATAGATTCAAATATGTTGATTAATTATATGTGTACATCTGCATTTTTTTGCAAATATATATATAATTATATATATATATTATATATATATGGGGGTTGTCCTAAATTACTGTTCCCACAAAGGCCTCTTGGGCCGAGCTTGCGCCAACCTTGCGCGTTTCTTGCGCGACCACACTCCCGGATCACTTTCATCATTTCAGTTGTTTTTCATCATTATTCTCGTGCTTGTTTTCGAATGTTAAATATTTAGTATTCACTTAGTATTTCGTACTGGGAAGTAGTTTGTGCAAGCTTTGTAGTACACAGTAGTACTGGGAAGTAGTTTGTGCAAACTTTGTAGTACAAAGTAGTACTGGGAAGTAGTTTGTGCAAGCTTTGTAGTGCAAAGTAGTACTGGGAAGTAGTTTGTGCAAGCTTTGTAGTACACAGTAGTACTGGGAAGTAGTTTGTGCAAGCCATGTAGTACAAAGTAGTACTGGGAAGTAGTTTGTGCAAGCTTTGTAGTGCAAATTAGTACTGGGAAGTAGTTTGTGCAAGCTTTGTAGTACACAGTAGTGCTGGGAAGTAGTTTGTGCAAGCTTTGTAGTACAAAGTAGTACTGGGAAGTGCTTTGTGCAAGCTTTGTAGTACACAGTAGTACTGGGAAGTGCTTTGTGCAAGCTTTGTAGTACACAGTAGTACTGGGAAGTGCTTTGTGCAAGCTTTGTAGTACACAGTAGTACTGGGAAGTGTTTTGTGCAAGCTTTGTAGTACACAGTAGTACTGGGAAGTAGTACTGGGAAGTAGCTCTGCACGTGTTGAACTTCTGTGGTTTCAGAGCGGTTTCAGAGTAGTTTCAGACCCCTTCGGGGGGTCTAGCTGACCTTGATGAAAAGAACAATTTACAGACAGAAAAGACTTGAACACAACATACAAGGAAATAAATTCTGATAGATAGATAGATAGATAGATAGAGATAAAGCAGCCAACGCCATGCAGCAGCAGTCCGGAGATGGTGAGCAGGAAGGTGTTTCAGAGTGGTTTCAGACCTCTTTTGGGCTTGTTTTTTGGGTACCCCCAGCTTTGGGAGATGAAAAAGAAAGAGAAAAGGTAGAGAAAGAGAGAGAGAGAGAGAGACAGAGAGAGAGAGAGACAGAGAGAGGAAGAGGGAAAGAGAGAGAGAGAGAGAGATAGAGAGAGAGAGAGAGAGAGGAAGATGGAAGATGGAGACAAACAGAAGGCGAGAGAGAGAGAGAGACAGAGAGAGGAAGAGGGAGAGGAGAGAGAGAGAGAGCGTTGTAAATGGTGAGCAGCGGGGTGTTTCAGAGTGGTTTCAGACCTCTTTTTGTCCGTAGGCTACCTCAGCTTTGGAGAAAAAACAGGAAACAACGGGAAAAGAAAGAAGAGAAGGGAGAAAGAGACAGAGAGAAAGAAAAAGTCTTGAGACGGTGAGCAGGAAGATGTGTCGAACTGGTTTCAGACCTCTTTTGGGGCCGGTTATGGGGCTATAGTTCTTAAGACATCCAAAAGAAGGGGCTCAAAACAGATTGTACTTGAAACACATGCGGTCCGGAAAGACGTGCAACGGTCCGGAAAAGCAAGCACCCAAAACGTACTCTAATCGTAGCGATTGCGGTCCGGAAAGGCATGCAGCGGTCCGGAAAAGCGAGCACCCAAAACGCACTCTAATTGTAGAATTGAAGACATTGCGGTCCGGAAAGATGAGCAGCGGTCCGGAAAAGCAAGCACTCAAAAAGTACTCTAATTGTAGACATTGCGGCCCGGAAAGACATGCAGCTGTCCGGAAAAGCAAGCACCCAAAACGTACTCTAATTGTAGATATCGCGGTCCGAAAGACATGCAGCGGTCCGGAAAAGCAAGCACCCAAAACGTACTCTAATTGTAGTCATTGTGGTCCGGAAAGACCTGCAGCGGTCCCGAAAAGCAAGCACCCAAAAAGTACTCTAATTGTAGATATTGCGGTCCGGAAAGACGTGCAGCGGTCCGGAAAAGCAAGCACCCAAAACGTACTCTAATTGTAGACATTGTGGTCCGGAAAGACCTGCGGCGGTCCGGAAAAGCAAGCACCCAAAACGTACTCTTATTGTAGACATTACGGTCCGGAAAGACATGCAGCGGTCCGGAAAAGCAAGCACCCAAAACGTAGTCTAATTGTAGACATTACGGTCCGGAAAAACATGCAGCGGTCGGGAAAAGAGGATAGCACGAGAGACAGAGAGAGAGAGAGAGAGAGATAGAGAGAGGAAGAGGGAGAGGAGAGAGAGAGCGTTGTAAATGGTGAGCAGCGGGTGTTTCAGAGTGGTTTCAGACCTCTTTTTGTCCTTAGGCTAACTCAGCTTTGGAGAAAAAACAGGAAAGAACGGGAAAAGAAAGAAGAGAAGGGAGAAAGAGACAGAGACAAAGCAAGCACCGAAAACGTACTCTAATTGTAGCCATTGTGGTCCGGAAAGACCTGCAGCGGTCCGGAAAAGCAAGCACCCAAAACGTACTCTAATTGTAGCCATTGTGGTCCGGAAAGACATGCAGCGGTCCGGAAAAGCAAGCATCCAAAACGTACTCTAATTGTAGACATTACGGTCCGAAAGACATGCAGCGGTCAGGAAAAGCAAGCACCCAAAACGTACTCTAATTGTAGCCATTGTGGTCCGGAAAGACCTGCAGCGGTCCGGAAAAGCAAGCACCAAAAAAGTACTCTAATTGTAGATATCGCGGTCCGGAAAGACCTGCAGCGGTCCGGAAAAGCAAGCACCCAAAACGTACTCTAATTGTAGCCATTGTGGTCCGGAAAGACATGCAGCGGTCCGGAAAAGGAAGCACCCAAAAAGTACTCTAATTGTAGCCATTGTGGTCCGGAAAGACGTGCAGCGGTCCGGAAAAGCAAGCACCCAAAAAGTACTCTAATGCAGCGGTCCGGAAAAGCAAGCACGCAAAACGTACTCTAATTGTAGACAGTACGGTCCGAAAGACATGCAGCGGTCCGGAAAAGCAAGCACCCAAAATGTACTCATTGTAGCCATTGTGGTCCGGAAAGACCTGCAGCGGTCCTGAAAAGCAAGCACCCAAAAAGTATTCTAATTGTAGACATTAGGACCGCTGCAGGTCTTTCCGGACCACAATGGCTACAATTAGAGTACGTTTTGGGTGCTTGCTTTGTCTCTCCTCTCTTTCTCCCTTCTCTTCTTTCTTTTCCCGTTCTTTCCTGTTTTTTCTCCCAAGCTGAGGTAGCCTAAGGACAAAAAGAGGTCTGAAACCACTCTGAAACACCCGCTGCTCACCATTTACAACGCTCTCTCTCTCCTCTCCCTCTTCCTCTCTCTGTCTCTCTGTCTCTCTGTCTCTCTCTCTCTCTCTCGCCTTCTGTTTGTCTCCATCTCTGTCTCGTGCTATCCTCTTTTCCCGACCGCTGCGTTTTTGGGTGCTTGCTTTTCCGGACCGCTGCAGGTCTTTCCGGACCACAATGGCTACAATTAGAGCACGTTTTGGGTGCTTGCTTTTCCGGACCGCTGCAGGTCTTTCCGGACCGCGATATCTACAATTAGAGTACGTTTTGGGTGCTTGCTTTTCCGGACCGCTGCAGGTCTTTCCGGACCACAATGGCTACAATTAGAGTACGTTTTGGGTGCTTGCTTTTCCGGACCGCTGCAGGTCTTTCCGGACCGCAATATCTACATTAGAGTACGTTTTGGGTGCTTGCTGCTCCGGACCGCTGCATGTCTTTCCGGACCGCGAAATCTACAATTAGAATACTCTTTGGGTGCTTGCTTTTCCGGACCGCTGCAGGTCTTTCCGGACCACAATGGCTACAATTAGAATACTTTTTGCGTGCTTGCTTTTCCGGACCGCTGCAGGTCTTTCCGGACCACAATGGCTACAATTAGAGTACGTTTTGGGTGCTCGCTTTTCCGGACCGCTGCATGCCTTTCCGGACCGCAATCGCTACGATTAGAGTACGTTTTGGGCGCTTGCTTTTCCGGACCGTTGCACGTCTTTCCGGACCGCATGTGTTTCAAGTACAATCTGTTTTGAGTCCCTTCTTTTGGATGTCTTAAGAACTAGGTAGCCCCATAACCGGCCCCAAAAGAGGTCTGAAACCAGTTCGACACATCTTCCTGCTCACCGTCTCAAGACTTCTTCTTTCTCTCTGTCTCTTTCTCCCTTCTATTCTTTCTTTTCCCGTTCTTTCCTGTTTTTTCTCCAAAGCTGAGGTAGCCTACGGACAAAAAGAGGTCTGAAACCACTCTGAAACACCCCGCTGCTCACCATTTACAACGCTCTCTCTCTCCTCTCCCTCTTCCTCTCTCTGTCTCTCTTTCTCTCTCTCGCCTTCTGTTTGTCTCCATCTTCCATCTTCCTCTCTCTCTCTCTCTATCTCTCTCTCTCTCTTTCCCTCTTCCTCTCTCTGTCTCTCTCTCTCTCTCTTTCTCCCTCTCTTTCTCTACCTTTTCTCTTTCTTTTTTCATCTCCCAAAGCTGGGGGTACCCAAAAAACAAGCCCAAAAGAGGTCTGAAACCACTCTGAAACACCTTCCTGCTCACCATCTCCGGACTGCTGCTGCATGGCGTTGGCTGCTTTATCTCTATCTATCTATCTATCTATTTATCTATCTATCTGCTCCTTTTTCTTTGGATGGCCTATTTACCACCCTGGTTATCTATGTTTATCAACTCGAGATGTTAATATTTAAGGTCTAAATCAGATACAGTAGTAGTAGTAGTAGTAGTAGTGGTAATGTAGTTGTAGTTGTTGTAGTAGTAGTAGTAGTGGTAGTAGTGGTAGTAGTAGTAATAGTAGTAGTAATAGCAGGAGTAGTAGTAGTAGTAGGAGTAGGAGTAGTAGTAGTAGTAGTAGTACTAGTAGTAGTAGTAGTAGTAGAAGTAGTAGTAGTAGTAGTAGTGGTAGTAGTTGTAGTAGTAGTAGTGGTAATGTAGTAGTAGTAGCAGTAGTAGTAGTAGTGGTAGTGGTAGTGGTAGTAGTAGTAGTAGTTGTAGTCGTCGTCGTCGTCGTAGTAGTAGTAGTAATCAAAATGTCAAATTAAAAAAATACTTGTAATAATGATAACAATAGTACTTGCGCGTACCTTGGGCCGCCCTTGCGCGAAACTTGCGCGATGCAGGTTTTAGACCATGGGAAAAATGCGAGAATAGGTCCTTTACTAAAAACCTTTCTGGGGTTTTTGGACGGCTCCCATATGTTTAAGATATTTGAGACATTTTACTGTAGATAGAGACATTTTGAGACATATCCCTCGGCATGCCAATCTGCCTTTCACCCTGTCAACAACAAACAAAAAGCCCCGGATAGCCCCGCAACACTGCAGCTGAAGATACCTGTCCCACTGTTTTATTTGTCGCATGGAATAGCGGTTTGTCTGAATTCCAGGGATGTCCTCGAACTTACTGTTATGGTTGATCATCATTTCCCATCAAAATTAATTGCATAAAGATTACTAACAATTACTTACAATCCCAGCTCTCCGAGCTATCCCAGCTATCTATAGCTATCTTTTATTTTGAATCCACAACAGCTTGGCGTCCACACCCCTTGGGTTCTGCTGTCTTTGGACCTTTGCCATTGAGGTCCGGCTCAGGACCTCGTGCGGCTTGTGACAAATGGTGTCTAATTATCGTCTCACATGGCACATATGGTTTGACAACAAAACATTAATCATCATTGAATGATTGACGTCTTTTTCATGATTTTTCTGTGTTTTTTCATATGACATGTATTGAAAACCGAGGCCATGGCCACCCGTGGGCACAGGTAGTGCCATGAGAGGTTGCGCCTGTGGCTGAGCCGGCTGTTTTACGTGTCATGAAGTTGGGTGGTCATTGCCTGCGGAAGAACTTCTGCATCAAGGGATGAAGATTGTGGACAGTTCACAACGGTTTCAATGCTGTATGAAACACTAAGAACTTGTTGCCAAAATGCCATGGTATCAAAAAGAAACAACCATACGTTTTCCAAGTGCTGTTCAGACCGACTGCTTTCTTACAACCACGGTGTATGACATGATAGGACATGATATGATATAATATGATCATGTATGCTGTATTGTAGCCGCAACATGAGCAAGCGGTGTCACCTCCTCTTCTTCCTCCTCGTCATCCGAGCTCATGCTCGAGTACTCCTGGTGGCAATGTAGCATCCAATGTAATTATCCCAAGTTGCAGTCCAGCACCTCGAGATTCTCCAAGCTGTAAGCTGTTACACTGTAAGCTGTGAAAAAAAACAAAGGGCTCACCTCACTCACCTCAGGCCCCTGGCAATTGATGCAACGACCCCAACACCGGACCATTTCAGGGGCTCCGAGTCGCTGTCGGAGTCGCTTTCACGGCCTTGAAGACCTGTGCCACGCTGAAGAATTGACTCAATGCAGCTTCAACGATCCCAAGAGCCCACATCCCAGTTTCATTGAACACCTTTTCTGACAGGATTTTCAGGCGATTTTTTGGGGTTAACAACCATCAACCCTGGTTGTTGTCCACGTGTTTCATGGGTTTTTACGGCTAAATCACCAACCTCTCGCTCCACGGGCCGCCGCCGCTGCCGCCGCCAGGCGCTTCGCATCCGGCGCCTCCGCCCGCGGCCGCGCAGCTGGCGTTGGCGCCGGAGGCGCCGGCGGCGCCTCGGCCTCTTCCGACTCAGCCTACGGCAGGGATGGACTCTCTATACAAACACAATTAATAAATCTAATAAATCCTCTTGGGAATTCACCTAAAGGGTTGAGGTGTCTGATTCTATAGGTACAAAATCAGGACCCCCAAGAAAAACATGTTTTTTTCTATATATAATCAGGACCCCCAAGAAGAGTTCAACTGTACACAATCGAGGCCTCCAAGGTTCAGTTTGTGTGAAATGTTAAGTAGAAAAAGGGTCTACATTCTTCACTGGGTAGGCTGGGTTGGCTACATAATCAAGACCCCCAAGCCTCACAGTGGAAAAATCGGAACAAGGGCTTGATTTTTGAGGTGCATTTTAGCATGGTACAAAGATTGAACCCCAAGCCTTGGCTCGAGTCTAGCATAAAATGGAAATCAATATTAAAAAAAACAAACAACACCATATGCACCAAGCTAGCCTTAATATAAAACGTAGACCTCCAAGCTCGGGTTTGACACCCTGAGACCTCTATAGAATCACAACCCTCCCCAGTGAAGCCCAACCACAGAGGGAAACCCCTGTACAAAATGAACCTGTTTTTGGAGCTCAACCCCCTTGATTTAATCCAGCTATTTCCCAGGGGGATATTAATAAACTAGTCCAAACTTATCTCTATACAGTATAAATATAGTACTCAAATGTATTAACCGTGTATATATATATATATACATATAGCATGTGTTGTGTTGTTTGAAGTAGGGGAAACTGATCGTCAATGAAAGATAGTGAAAGTCATTGGAGTTGATTTCCTTGAGATCAATGACGATAGACATCCAGATTGAAACCAGCAAAAGAATGGCCGACACGATTGACATTGAATATCAACAAATGAGATCAAAGTTGAACCATCATTCCATAGCGAAAAAGATGAAAAAAGGATAAAAAAGCTTCGGGAATGAGTTTCCCAATGCAATTGGGATAATTCATGATTCCCACATACTAGTACAATGATTCCCAATACAAGGAATTGATCCAAAAGATTGGATTCATGATTTGTCCCAATACCAATGACATACCCTCTGGTAAACTAACATAACTATGGAAAATCACCATTTTTAGTGGGAAAATCCACTATAAATAGCCATTTTCAATAGCTATGTTAAATTACCAGAGGGTAAGTTTCATTCACACATCGGAAGAGCCCACCTCATTGGCTACCGGCTCCGGCATGGGAACCACCTGTGACCGACATAGACCGACAAAGCTGTCATGTCGCACGAATCCTGGCTTGTTAACTTGAGACATCAACTTGAGATCAACCCCAAGTTATATAGTTAATTAGTGCGTGATCATCTGAATCATCTACCATCCATCATCCATCATCCATCATCTGCTATTTGTTGTCGTTTAAAATGGACCCACCTCCCCCCCAAAGAAAAACTACCAGGAGTCGAGTTGATTGAAACATCCGAGCTGAGCTCCGGGCTGGAAGAGCCATTTGCGCAGGCTCCTCTCTCGCTGCCTCTCTCCTGATGCTATCCCAAAGGCACGCTGCAAGATCTGATGAAAACTATGGAAATCGGGCCATCCACCAGCCCATTCCCATCACACCCAAAATCCTTGAAAATTGATAGTAGCACATATTATAGACAAACATGTATAAACATGTTACAACATCATAAAACATATAGTCATCCTTAGAAACAAACACCGCAAAAAACATGGAAATTAAAACTTTATGGACTCCACAAGGGCATCCAGTTCATGGCGTCCTGGTGGCCGCCAAAGAAGCACCCAAGGCTTGTCTCATCTGCTCTCCTGGATTGAGGTGATCTTTGGCGACTCAACTTTGGAACAACCATTGATGAAACATCCAGAAAAAAAAAAAACATGAAAAACACACGGCAAATACATAAACAGCATCCACAAGAGGCCAAAGTGACATCACTATCATCACTAGTGACATCTGAAGATGAATAACTTTAAAATTCCAGCCAGCACAGCGGAGCCATGACAGTCCTAGCTTGGCATCCTGATCACGTTGCACTGTAACATCCAACAAGCACAGCAACAGAGTGTCGACCGTGCTCTTCAAAATGGATGATTTGCGAGCATCTACAATCATCTAAAGAGGGAACATCCGCAAAATCGCATGATGTGTGATCTTGATTAATGTTGGATAGTTCGGTATGTAACATTTCTGGTGGATGAAAGCTTCGGAGCAGATGGGATCTGGCCTCATCCATGTCTCCTGCATCTCGACCATTAACGCCTTAATTACATTGATGTATAATGGCATGTCAGCGCCCAAAACGGAAGGGCTCAAGCCGTAGTGATGACTAGATACTATAGTTATTAGATATGGTTAGTGACTTTCAGTGGTAGACCCCAAGCTTGAACTATTGAGACTGGTACAGTAATATGGAAGGATCGTGAAATCAGGCCGTAAGGTAGCAGGACATAGAACTAAGTGCAAGGACTCACCACCACCACTTCATCATCGTCTGAAACCGGACGACCTAAGTATGGGCTGCTGCTCAGGTACAAGTGGAATGGTCGGTAAAACGCTAAGAAGGAACTAACAACTCCTGTGGCAAACTGCAACATAAACAGTGCCAAGTTGTACTACTCCAAGTTGTACGTGAGGGGCAAATTGGGGTCTCTCTACTCCTACTAGATTTATCCAATCAATGCATTGCCATCCAATCTGATCATCATTACCAGCAGCCTGAAGCGCAAAGATTCCCCTGTGCCCTCGCACGTCTTGGATCCATGGCAGGTGGAGCTTTAGCCTGGAAAGCGTTGAGAGGAGAAACATAGTCCTACCCTCTGGTAATTTAACATAGCTATGGAAAATCACCATTTTTCATGGGTAAATCCACTATAAATGGCCATTTTCAATAGCTATGTTAAATTACCAGAGGGTAAGTCCTAACAGTCTGGAAAATAAAAGTATTACGTATTCAGCACGCACAGTACCATGGGCACTCATGTTTCTAATACAGTAGCTGTCTCCTTCCTAGTCCTCCAAGCCATGTGGCACATGTATATGCAGAAAAGAACAGAATTCATCAGAGTCTCGCATTCAAACAAGCTACGAATATTCTTCCTCTTTGTCTATGCCGTCCCATTCACTCTGTGAATACATGCGAATACTGTTTCCTACCATTTACCGATCAAACAAAACCATTATCTTTAAAGTAAACCCCTGAAACTTCCCCAAAGCACTATCCAACTGCTGCGATGTCGAGCGCCTCTGCCTCTGACCGCGGCAGCTTCCGTCTGGGTCTTGGAGGTGTGGGCGGCCGTCGCATCCGCGGCTCCGCGGAAGCCGCAGGAGCCGACTCCGGTGGAGCCGGCTCCGGCTCTGGCGCAGACGCTGTCGTGGCTTCCGGCGGTCTGACCTCCTCAGCGCTAGGCTCTGCAGGCTTTGGCGTATCCTCTGGCTGCCTGGCACAGGCAATAGACATGGAAAATGACAATTCGATGGGATGCGCGCCATGTATATTTGGGTTCCTCACGGTTTTGGAGATGCCCCTAATTACATTATATAATATAATCAATCAACTGGATATGGTTAATGTTTAACATTTTACCACAGCGTTAATAAGACATGTTGACTTCCACTAAGTTTCCAATATCTGCTATTGGCTTGTCCTGTGGCCATCAGAGGGGCGAATAAAAATGCCATGGACTCGTACGAAGCAAACCCACCAACTCAAAGAGACAGCCGCGGTTCTAAGGATCCAAGTTGCGGTGCTTTCTGGCTCTCATCTTTTAGTGGGTCCTTAACCAATTCAGAATCCCACAATGGTCAAACAATGTCAAAAAAGGGATACCTTGCAGTGTAGCCTCAACAATATAGATCCCTGCATTGAGCAACGCCAGCTGCGTTTTTGACTGGATACTGGGCTGCTTGAATCTGAGCCCAGGACCGTCTTCTCCTGCAAATATCTGCAAGTAAATCAAGACTCAAAACACACCAGGAATCAAATTCTAAGATGCACAAAAAAAGGAACATATCATATGTGCCATGGTCAAAATATGGTGTATGGTCATCCATCCCATGGTGGGAAGCCTTCTGATGGATATATATCTCCTCATTAATGCACCATACTCAAAGCTGTCAATCCTTGCAGTCACATCCGATCCGTGCCTCCGGTGGCTCTTCTGCAGGAGCTTTCAAAGGCTTAGATGGGACACTGCCATCACCACCGTCACCCATATCCTACACACAGAGGTCCGCCATGGTCTGCTTCTGAACCGTTCACTTTAATTGCTGGATACGACTGGATTCTTTGCTCGATGTCACATTGAGCTAGGTTGATTGCTCAACGGGTGGCACCGTCCGGCCCGTTTGATTTCACTTGCTTGGGGTTGGTTTGTGCCTGGCACATCTTACTGTAAGTGTAAGTTAAGTAACACCGCGTTTGTGTTTTGTTATAACAAGGCTGGATCCATGGGTCGCCCAGCATTTGATGGGGAACCATGCGTCCAATCTAAGTAAACATACAAGAAATCAGCTTAATCGGCTACGTCCTCAGTCCTCATACCCGTCGCAAAACGTCACATACAAATTCATGGGGGCTTCACAAAATGGTGGCCACATACCCGAAACTCCCAGTTTTTCATGGGGATCACTAAAAATCTTCACACGTTTCGGGGGGGCATTGCCTCTAGAAATATCAATGAAAGCTATGATATATCTGGTCATAGCATTTCCAGATATTTCAAGGGAAAAATCGTGAAATCGGATTTCTATAGGTTTTTCCTATGGATTTCGAACAAAATCCAGGCATTTTCTCCACATCCCCCAGCTAAAATCTCCAGCACCTCAGTGAGAGTCTGCAGGGCTGCCAAGGCTTCACTGATGGCCTCCAACTCCTCGACCTGGTCGTTTTTTTGGAGGCCATCACCATGGAACTCTGAGAGAAAGTTGGATCATATGGTTAGATATTTTCACACATACATATTATGTATATATATATATATGTGTGTGTGTGTATCTGTCTGTCTGTCTGTCTAATCTAATCTAATCTAATATCCAATATGTCTATATATTTCTGAGATTTTTGAGTATTTCGAATGGATTTCATAAGTATCTATCTGTCTATCTAATCTATCTAATCTATCTAATCTATCTAAGCTATCTAAGCTATCTAAGCTATCTAATCTATCTTTCTATCTAATCTATCTAATCTATCTAATCTATCTAATCTATCTAATCTATCTAACCTATCTAATCTATCTAATCTATCTAATCTATCTAATCTATCTATCTAATCTATCTAATCTATCTAATCTATCTAATCTATCTAATCTATCTAATCTATCTAATCTATCTAATCTATCTAATCTATCTCTATCTAATCTATCTAATCTATCTCTATCTAATCTATCTAATCTATCTAATCTATCTAATCTATCTAATCTATCTAATCTATCTAATCTATCTAATCTATCTAATCTATCTAATCTATCTAATCTATCTAATCTATCTATCTAATCTATCTAATCTATCTAATCTATCTAATCTATCTAATCTATCTAATCTATCTAATCTATCTAATCTATCTAATCTATCTAATCTATCTAATCTATCTAATCTATCTAATCTATCTTTCTATCTTTCTATCTTTCTATCTATCTATCTATCTATCTATCTAATATTTCTACATATTTCTGAGATTTTAGTATTTCGAATGGATTTCATAAGTCAACCACTTGTTGAATTGGGATGCTGCAACAGCTGAACTGTGGCACATCATGGCACATCCTACCAAGGCCCTTGGGAGCAAAAGATTGTGTCCTTTCAACATAAAGTCCAACATGGAAAGCCTCATGTGTTGGAAAAGATATCTTGGAAAAGTATGAACAAGTCCTATTGCTCCCTTTTCAACCCTTGTTTATTTCAGCATTTTTAGCTGGAAAAGCCAAAAACCATCGAAAATAGAAGTCGAAACAGCGGCACTTAGACATGCGTAGCACATATCTGGATCTGATGAAAATGGAATGGCATCCATCATGTTTTTGTGTGGCCAAGATTGTCTGCTCTGCCCATCAAATTGCCGAATCACCTTGGGTTCCGCTGCAGCTTCTACCACCTCCGCTTTCCGCTTGGCCTTGCAGTTCAGTTGAGCCAACTTTCCTCCAGAAACCGAAGAAAAATAGAGAACACCAATTCAAAGCATATGTACATATGTACGGTATTTGTGGATATTTATGGATGATTATGGCGTCTCAAAGGGTTTCCACAGTGGAAAATCCATGTACCTAAGATCCCCCCAAGACTGGACATGTTGCCTCGGGCTCTCCCCTTGTGGCCGGGTGCCGAACCTTTCGAGCCCATGGTGGCTTGCCGTCGCCTTCAGGAGCTTTTGAAGAATTTGCCTGAGATACATTGAGAATCATTGAGATACTGTCAAAGATACTGTCAAATTCTGTCAAAGATACTGTCAAAGTGTACTTTCAGCATCCTTCGGCATCAATTCCATCCTCTTGAAATCGAGCAAGCCGTGCCCGCAATTGTTCAGAAAGAACAGAAGGTCACCATAGCAAACTTGCGCATGCTGATACAGCAGAAGCAACGAAGCAGCCAGATTTTTTGCATAACAAGGCACCTTCAGCAGCTCCCAAGGAGCGACTTTTGATGGGGCCACCGGGGCCGCCTGTCCAAGAACACCAGTGTTGCGTATATGATTGAAGTGGCTCTTGCAAGATGAGTGGGTTAGACCAAACCCCCTCACAAACCCATCCCCAGAAGACACTTAAAAACTCGGATTCCGACAAACTGCTTCAATGGCAGAGTTGAGGACTTGAGAACTCCAGTCAAACAAGAGCAACATCAAAAAATATCCAAAAAAAAGTGACTCAGCAGCTTCATTCACCTTGGGCTTTTCTGGAGAAGCAGCAGGCGGTGCCACCTTGAGCTTTTCGACTGTGGAGGTCGCTGCTGTGGCATTCTCCCGGGATCCAGGGTAGATCAAGGGCTGCCGTCCATCCCAGGTCTCCGGTATCTGATACTTGGTACGAACACCTTGGTGGTTGGAGGAGCTCCAGCTTGTTAGTTGAACCTCCATGTTTATCGTCATTGGACATCATTGTCCCGGGTAGGGATTGAATCGCTAACAACATGAAACGCAAGTCAGGAATCGCATTCCAGAAACAACAAGCTTTTCTTACATGACTTGTTGAAGTGTATTTGACGATATTTTGACCTGAACTTAGGGGTTCTTGATGCAGGGGCGTAGATTTTGAAACCCACCAACAAAGCCCAACAGCATCCCAACAGCAAAGTACAGATTTCTGGGTTGGTCTGATAATAGGTACCCCATGGTACCATTGTTTAATCATCGTGACATCCTATTGAAACTGCAAAATTTGGTTGGTGGAATCTCCCATTTTCAGACACGTGACAAAAACTCCAAAGAAAAATTAAGCAAATGCAGCAGACTTGTGTACAGAAGGTCCTCCCGGCCCTTGTATTTGTCAAGCAGGTAGTCCACCTTTGCCAAATTGCTGGGATTGCGAAGGGAATAGATAGTCACCAATCTTCTTCTATATTCACCTTGGTAGCGGAATGGAGATAGCGGCAAAATTTTGCACCTCTCAAACTGAGACAGTTCCAACATTGAACAAACTCGATCGTTTCAAGTCATTACAGTGATTGATCTTCGTTAAATCCTCAGACACTCGATGAGATGTAGTTGCTTCCGAGCTCTCACATCAAACTACACATATCAAACTACACGTTAGCTGGATTGAAACATGATTTAACGGCATTGAACTTAACCATTAAGCTATATACATTAAGCTGCACTGAAGCAAAATGAGACAAATCTTGAAACCCCGGTGACCCCATCTTATATCTTAGTGGCTAATCGTCGCAGGGCTTGCGGCCGGCACAGGAAGGCTTTTTGCCACTGTGAAAGTACCAGCAGTGGTACCCAAAACGCCGGCAGCCGGATCTACCTCGGCTCCAAACTGCTCCAAACAATAACAATAAGATCAAAGGGATCTTTCCTATTTTTTCCTCATTTAAATTCCCGAGTCATCAAAACATTCTGGGCATCTGCTGGCCGTGCAACAATGACAATTTCAAGGATACGCAGTCATACAGTATACATTTTCATTCACCGTCAAGCAATGCACTCTGGGGTGTTGCTACCAGTATAGAAAACAAAAATGTGTCGTCTGCTCTTTCATCATGGTCTGCATCATGCACCACCAAAAAGAAGAAACACATCTCACACCCTGACCTTGGGAGCTCTCCAAACCTCTTATATAAAATGAGATTCCCCGATGTTGCCTATCGGAGCTGGGTTTTAATATGGTTCCCCTAAATTACCCTATAATATAGATATGTGGAAAGTCCAAGAGTTGAGTGGACAATGAGAATGTAGAAAATATAGATGAAAACTATACATTTCAAGCTCAAACCTCAAAATCGACCATTTTTTTTTCTCCAGAATTCCTCCAGATTTTCCCTAAAAACACCCTGAAATCCTGCCGTTCCAGGCGCCGTTCCAGGCGCCCCAGGCGCCCCAGGCCACTGCGCCTTGGGCGGCGCCGGCAGCGCCGCCGGCTTCTGCCAGGGCGCCGCCGAAGTCGGCGGCGCCGGCAGCGGCGCGGAGCGGTGCCAGGGCGCCACCGCGGGGGAGGATTTGGACATCCTGGGCTGGTTGGGCACAGATTTCTGGAGATTTTGGGGTGTTTTTGTGGTTGGTTTATGGTAATATCATGAATATATCATGAATTAATATTAATATGAGTTATAATGATATCTACTTGATGGACTTCTTGGATCCTTCATCCCACGGAGTCACGGAGCGACTCGGTGGTTTGTAGCTTGTGTATAAAGCCTATTTATACCCTGCGCGTCAATGTTGAAGTCTACCTCGCGGACAATGTTGGTTGGTTAAACATCGACATTCTCAATGTTGATGTTCAACCCCTGTGAAGAAATCAATGGACCTTGGAAGTGCAAGATCATAATACATATATTCATCATTCCAATTTCCTAACGTGTAGGTGCCCTTGGACCTGAATTTGAAATCTAAAAGCAATATAAGTATGGAATTTCCGGACACAAAACAAGTCAAGGAACCATATTTGCAAGTATTTGCATTTTTTATACTGGAGTTTACGGACAAAACATGGGACCTTAAACGGTCTTGGAAATTTGCCACTCCAGGAAGCTCATGTTTATTGCACTAATTACAGATTGACATGATTTATATAATGCCCAGAGAAATTGGGAACTCAGTGTTGCCACCGGAGGACCAGACAAACCCAAAAAATCATTAGCGTGAAATAGCGTGAAGTACACGTGAAGTTTGCGTGAAATGCGTTGTTTACCGGTGATTTTTTTAATGTTTACCTGAGGAAGAGGGCCACACCATGCCACCCCCAGAGTATATAATATATATATATAATTATGCATATATCTTATATAATACATATATATATAATTAGACATATATCATATATATATATACGTATGTATAATTAATTGTTATATGTTTCTTTTTCATGTTTTTTCTTCTTTGTTTCACCAGTCTGGTCATCCAAATGCCAACTGCACCCTCTCAGGCTCTCAGGGGTATGTTTTCATATTTTTTCTGGGTTCATGGTAGATATTCCAATGATATTCCTTGGGGAATATAACTTGGGAGCAGATGGGGCGATTCTGTTTAGTTTTATAGGTGTAAAATTGGTATAACCATGGTGATAATAAGTTGAGATATGTGGTCCCTATAACTATGGTCATCCACTAACTGGGCACCCCGAATGATGGGGATGGGGGGATGATTGCAGGCTGGTACTGACTGTAGATGATGATTCCTTGTAATTTTGATGATATTGTAGTGCAATACAAGGTAGTAGGCAAAATGCGGCGCTTCCGATGCTTCCGGATATCCAGCATGTTCAGATTAGCCTGGGGTACAGTATCTGAAGATTTATTCTTACATATACCTACTATCTTTATGCATGTTCAACCCATTTAAGAACAAGACTGAAACATCTTAACATATCTCAACCTAGCTTTCTTATGGTCAAGGATCGAGCTTGGAGGCGGCGCTGGCAACCCAAACTGCTTGGCACTGGCTGCAGCTAAGGCATTCGTGGAACCGCTTTTGGCAACAGCGCCTGCATTACTTGCCTTTGCAGCGTCATCCATCTGGCTCCGCCTCAAGGATCATGGAGAAAGTGGAAGTGATCCCCTTGGATCATCCAACATCATCTAACCTTTTCATTGCCTAGGAATGTTCGGAGATATTTGAGTAATCTTGATGGGTCAAAACTTCCCTGCTCTAATTTTAGATCCAAAATGCATGACCGTTGCCTGCGCTGCCATGGGGAATCTTCAGGCGCTTGAGTCGCAACCCACATGCTTTTTTGGTGCTGAGGTTCTTCGGGCGGAACCAACTTTGAATGTCTTGGGATGGCTAGGGCGGCTATGGCTTCTGCATCTCTATCCGCCCATCTTCAGGCGCATTGATGGCTATTGTCTTCTGAAGGATTCGGTGCGAAAGGGATCTTGTTCATCGGCATTAAGTGGAATGGGCTTCTAGCTGAGACTTCGTGGAGGGGTGGTTTTTTCATGCTTTTTCTGTAAGATTCTTATTACCTAATATAGAACTGAGTTCAAATGCCCGTGAAAATAATCCTATCCTTTCAAAACAGCCAACAAAAAGCTGCGGACCACTGTGACTGAAACACACATGGGGAGTGGCAAACGATGAAGAATCCGCTGGGCACAGTGGAGAAGTGCAATAATCTCGGCTGGCAAATTCAGCCTGCACTCCACCTGCACTTTCAATGTTTCCATCCACCATCCCTGTTGAAAATGAAAAAAGTAATACATTTAAAGGAAACACATGAAAACGCATGTCACACCACCAAACAGCCCGGGCCATTTGGTTACACAAGGCCTCTACTCCTTTCAGAAATCATTCTTGGCGCACAGCAGTTTTCTCCACTGTCGATCTGCAGGGGCTTTTTCAAAATGAATCTGGGAGGTCACTGCTGCGTCTGTGGCAAACAGTTTCAAACTCCGTTTCACTATGTTTCACTCCACATCAATCGGATGATCTTTTTTTATTCTTTATGTCCAATTTCCACGACTGCCGGGTTTCCTTGCTTGAAATAAACACCTGCATTGATGCTGGCGGGCATTATGTATGGTATGTCTTAAGCGCGGTAGTTTGATATCAGAAACGTAAAGTGCCGCCAGCCAAAAAAAAACACCAAAACATATACTTGTCTACATCGCAAGTGGTGTTGGCTCTGCGTTGGCTGCTTCCAATCATATCTAATATATATTATCTAATAAATCTATATAAATCTAATAGTTATGGACATTTATGGACCCTACTTGTACAACTTATTACAACTTGTACCACATTATCCACATTGATGTTTCGTGATGTTTCCACAGCTCGGCTCACACTCTTATGAGATGCTCATTTACGGCCTCGGATCGCAGCTCATCTCTTTGGATCGTGCGAGTGCGCCGCCGCGGTTGGGCCCGTTGGGCGCCCTCCATGGATTTCTGAAGCCATTCCATGCCATTCCATGCCATTCATCGGGGTTGAAATGGCTTGAACAGAAATAGGATGAAATAGGGATCAATGAGGTGGTAAACATTGGTAAACCCAATGCCATCAACCATACAAATGGCTGGGTTTTCGATCATCGCGAAAATGGTTTTGAAACGGATAGCTTTATGGCATTGATGTTACATTGAGTTTACCACACTAAATACTAAAGGAAACAATATACCAATGATACCCAATGATTACCAATCAGACCACCAACATCCACCAACCAGAACATGTTTTGGATTGTTGTGGACTGACATTTGCGAACTTCAATGAAGGGCACCGCAAAAGCGTTTCTGATGTTAACGCATGAGGCATTTGTACACGAACGGAGATCAACGCACCAAGTTGTTGCTCCGCTCATTAGCTGGGGCAACTGGAAGATGGACCATCCCGGCCGGCCTGAAGTTAGCAGCAAATCATGACATATCATGACATAATGATAGGCTCTGGCTGTGGCAGAGCTTACAACATGGCACAAGTATGCACAAGTGCAAGTCAGGGCAACCTAAGTTCAACATGTTGAGCTGCGGAGAATAAAACACTTCCACTCACAAAGGGCATGGTCCCTTCTCGGTTGCGAATTTTATTTGAAGAGAAATGCTAAAGAAAGCCAAATCGAACAAACCCACCACTCTCAAGAAGCTACTGGTACTGCTGACACATTCCTTTAGTATCTATATATTAAAAAATATAATATAAAGTTATTTTGGATTTTTGTTGGCTCATCCGGGCTCATTCTGCATAATTTCGCCGAATCTCACCACGAACACCATCACAAGGTGCGGCTCCGCCACATGACATAGCTCGCCTCTGCTGTTTGGTTGACCTCTTCCACGGCATCTGCTTTTGCCTCGCCAGTTTCTTGCGTCTCTGGGCTTGGTTCTGGCGCTTCTGCTGCTTTGGGTTCTGCTGCAACTGGAGCAGCCTGCAGAGAAATAATGAGAAATACAATGAAATACAAATACATCGAAGAAGCAAAACGTCCATCACAAGAAAACAAGCCAAACAGGTATGGGCATGGCAGGGGCAAAAACACATGACTTCATGACAAACAAACATTCTCGGCATAGCTCGCCTCTGCTGTTTGGTTGACCTCTTCCACGGCATCTGCTTTTGCCTCGCCAGTTTCTTGCGTCTCTGGGCTTGGTTCTGGCGCTTCTGCTGCTTTGGGTTCTGCTGCAACTGGAGCAGCCTGCAGAGAAATAATGAGAAATGCAATGAAATACACATACATCGAAGAAGCAAAACTTCCATCGCAAGAAAACAATCCAAACAGGTATGGGCATGTCAGGGGCAAAAACACATGACTTCATGACAAACAAACATTCTCGGCATAGCTAGCCTCTGCTGTTTGGTTGACCTCTTCCACGGCATCTGCTTTTGCCTCGCCAGTTTCTTGTGTCTCTGGGCTTGGTTCTGGCGCTTCTGCTGCTTTGGGTTCTGCTGCAACTGGAGCAGCCTGCAGAGAAATAATGAGAAATACAATGAAATACACATACATCGAAGAAGCAAAACGTCCATCACAAGAAAACAAGCCAAACAGGTATGGGCATGGCAGGGGCAAAAACACATGACTTCATGACAAACAAACATTCTCGGCATAGCTCGCCTCTGCTGTTTGGTTGACCTCTTCCACGGCATCTGCTTTTGCCTCGCCAGTTTCTTGTGTCTCTGGGCTTGGTTCTGGTGCTTCTGCTGCTTTGGGTTCTTCTGCAGCTGGAGCAGCCTGCGGAGAAATAATGAGAAATACAATGAAATACACATAATTACATCGAAGAAGCAAAACGTCCATCACAAGAAAACAATCCGAACAGGTATGTGCATGTCATGGGCAAAAACACATGACTTCATGACAAACATTCTCGGCATAGCTCGCCTCTGCTGTTTCTTTGACCTCTTCCACGGCATCTGCTTTTGCCTCGCCAGTTTCTTGCGTCTCTGGGTTTGGTTCTGGCGCTTCTGCTGCTTTGGGTTCTGCTGCAACTGGAGCAGCCTGCAGAGAAATAATGAGAAATACAATGAAATACACATACATCGAAGAAACAAAACTTCCATCGCAAGAAAACAATCCAAACAGGTATGGGCATGTCAGGGGCAAAAACACATGATTTCATGACAAACAAACATTCTCGGCATAGCTAGCCTCTGCTGTTTCTTTGACCTCTTCCACAGCATCTGCTTTTGCCTCGCCAGTTTCTTGCGTCTCTGGGTTTGGTTCTGGCGTTTCTGCTCCTTCGGGTTCTGCTGCAACTGGAGCAGCCTGCGAGGAAATTGAATCACTGAGTTTCACAAGAAAACAACCTCAACAAGTCTGGGCATATGGCAGCAAAGGCACATGATAAGCTTGTGGAAAGAGCGCAAGGGATCCCGTGGTGACACACCATATTGGAACATATAGAGATATGAGTTGAAACTACACGGGGGCAGCCCCCATTTTGGCACTAGAAAATCTGCTATTTCCGGCCCAAGAACAACGTTTCGGAACCTTGTGGGCGCGCGCCGACATGTTTACTTTTTCATTCATATCTTCAGCCATGCGTTGTCATCTGACACTTTCCCAAATTTTTTGGGATCGCATCCAACCTGAGACATTCTGGCTTGCCGGTAGAAAGCCATGGCCTGCAACACTGTTTCTAATCCGGGAGAATCTAAAATTTTTTGCATCGCCAAAGGAATTATGTGAGAAGTGCAAGAGAAGATCTTACAACGTAACATCACGCGTGTGTGCAAGTGCAAGAGAAGATCTCACAACGTAACATCACGCGTGTGTGCAAGTGCAAGAGAAGATCTCACAACGTAACATCACGCGTGTGTGCAAGTGCAAGAGAAGATCTCACAACGTAACATCACGCGTGTGTGCAAGTGCAAGAGAAGATCTCACAACGTAACACCACGCGTGTGTGCAAGTGCAAGAGAAGATCTCACAACGTAACATCACGCGTGTGTGCAAGTGCAAGAGAAGATCTCACAACGTAACATCACGCGTGTGTGTGTGCCCCCCCCACCCCCCCCACCCCCCCCGTTCCCCACCCCAAAAATAATAACATGTCATGCGGGCACAACTTCTAACTGACGGGCACAACTTCTAACTGACGGGCACAACTTCTAACTGACGGGCACAACTTCTAACTGACGGGCACAACTTCTAACTGACGGGCACAACTTCTAACTGACGGGCACAACTTCTAACTGACGGGCACAACTTCTAACTGACGGGCACAACTTCTAACGGGCACAACTGACGGGCACAACTTCTAACTGACGGGCACAACTTCTAACTGACGGGCACAACTTCAACGTACCACCACGAAACACTGCCCACAGCGAGCGAAATGAAGATAAACGCGCCCTCACAGGCAGTTTTGCGCTCTC